GTCTGAACCAGTCAAACTTCCAGCCAGCAGAGCCCTCCACAGAGCAGCTCAGTGTCACACTGCCCCCTGCTGGTATGACTGAACTTTGTGCTGTCAGTGTGGCTCTGGGTTTATTTGCTGTTGAAGGAACAGAATTAAGTTAAACATTAAATTATTGCTTGTCTTAGAAAGAAATTTCTCACAGCACCGATCAAATGTTAAACATTCACAGAGCAATTGAGAAAACAATGTGTAATTTCTCTGCACGTGACTGCCTAGCTAAAACGCAGATTTCAAATCAAAAATAGTTTTGAATACCTCATTGTTTTCTGTTTATTAATGTTGTAATAGTTACAGTGCACTGAATGGCATCTTTCATCTATGTGGGAATAGGAGGAGAGTGTTGGAAATATGCGTGTGTTCAGAGATTCAGAGATGTGTATGTGTTTGAGTGAGTGTGTGTGTGTGTGTTTAAAATGATCTTAGAACACATTGTTTAAACGCTGGTGTAACAAAGTGCAGCAACAACACCAAATAGTCCAAAGAAAAACACAGGATTTAACTACATGGGCTTATTTTTCACAGCCCATGTTCCACAGCATCATCTATCATTCACCTTCATAGTGAGTGACAGGCATCAGTTCATGATGCCTTGATTTGCTGACCGTTTGGGCTAAATTAGTTCAGATCAGAGGGGGGAATTTTGGTGAACGAGAAAAGGGAGTCTTCTGTGAGAGTCTCGAAGGTGAAATCAATATGGTGGTAGCGGCAAGCATTAGCATGAATTAAGTTATTTAGATTTTTCTGGCATTCTGATCATTCAGCCATCATTCATCCTTCTTGCATGTTTAGTTTTTGAGAAAACAAAACAAACAAAACATGTGCTAATGTATACAGAAACATGTAGTCAAAAGGTGTGTAAGAGTGTGCGACTGGCATTATGGTAATCCTCTATATAGTTTTGCTAGTGTTGCTATCACAAGGTCTTGTGGTTGCAATGTGGTATCAAGGATGTGATGCTGCTGCTAGTAGTGTTGATTGATAATACTTTACTCATCCCGAGGGAAACTGGGTCAAGGCTGCCAGCCGTGCCAGCGCCATCTTACCCTTCCGATCATACATACATTACACAAACATCTCATAGGGTAGACAGGTCAGAGAGAGGTATAACAATGGAAAACTAATCCCTAAACAAGAATAACTGAAACATAGATTCATCATCATCATCATCATAATAATAATAATAAGAAAAAAATCCAAAATGCAAAAACACACCAAAACATAACAACTCAAAATACTGGGTCAAACTGACCCAGAACCATGACACTGTCTGTCATGGTCCTGAGTCTGAGGACTCAGTGTTTTGTGTTTCCTTATGCTTTTGTTCAGAGAGAGACATGTAAAGATATTATGAGCTGAAGACATTTAATAATGTGAAGAATAAATCAGCCTGCATGGCAGCAGAATTACTGAGAGAGCTTCCTGATGTGACTTCAGAATAAACTGCTGCATCAGCTGCAGGACTTGATGTTCCTGTGAATGAAGAGAAGATCATTGAAAACAATAATATCATTAACCAGGAGGAAACTGGACGTCTCCACTGATGCAAAGATAGAACTAGATTTTATTAACTAAGTAATTACTACGCATGAAGACCTAAATACAAATATTAATATAAACAGATTTACATTTTAAGAGCAGATAAACATGTTGAACAATATTCAGTGGAGATGATGGCAGACTTTGCTCACCTTTGTTTTTCTTGGCTTTTTCTTTTTTGGGCTGTTTGACCTCAGCATACATCAGACTGTCCTCTAAAAGAGACGTCAGAGCTCAGGACACATTTGTTCAGCCAGAGCGTTCTCACTCCCGAGGCGTAACATGTCGACGTTTTGTCACGTCCCGCGGCGTTCCTGAGGAACGCGAAAGGAGACCTTCGGCGTTCTTATGGTACGCGGCGGGTTATGGCTGGAATCCAGTGCAATGACGCTCCCGCGGTAATAGACGTTCCAGCCCTGTATTCCAGCCCTAAACCTAACCTTATCCCTAGCCCTGACCATAACCTTATTCCTGACCTTAACCAGGACTTTAATGATGTTAAATAGCGTGTTTCTAAGCGATTTGAAGAAAAAGAGCGAACATGTGTAGGTTCAGTCCAGACGGTTCTCATATTTCCTCTTTTTCCGAGGTCGTCATTTAGGAACGTGGTGGGTAGCCGAAAACGTAATATGTTGACGATTTGTCACCTAGCGTAAAATGTTACGCTTTGGGAGTGAGAACGGGTTGGTTCAGCACAGATATGATGACAAGAACATTACAGAGTAAAAACATGAGAGAAACTATTTAGTTTGGGGACATATAGATGGACAATACCATACTGTACAATAACAATATCATTCTGTATATGAAGCAGACAAACTTACACTAAACTCTGAACGGCCCTCGATGTGTATAAGATTCAGTCTGCTGATGTGTAGTGGTCGTATGTAGTAGCTAAGCTTGGTCAGTGAATAACTAAACTCCATGTTGACCTATAATTACCTGCAATATAATGATGTGATGACACATTCAAGTACAAACACTGAATGAGACTGTTGTGACTGTACCTGCAGCTGCTGTCTTCACCTCAGAGTAAACAGCACTCTGCTCTGCTTTATGATGCTTCTCTGTGAAGATGATCGAATCCACAAAAGAAAAACATTTAATACATTTTTAAACATTTCAAAAACTTTCCAGGCTTTTCTTCTACATTGTATGTTTTGTGTACTCACACTTATTTCCAAAGTTTTCAAGTTCAATATTAGAGCAAATAAACAAAATAAAGTCATTAATATTGAAGAAAAACCCTTTCTAGCCTTTCTTTTCCATATTGAACAAATAAACAAATAAATTCAAATAATTATTTATTTTAAAAAAAACCTATATTGTTTTCGACACTCACTCTTTTTTCTGACGTTTTTAAATTCGATAAGAGCATATGTGACATCTTGGGGTTCATCTGCACCTGAAATGTAAAAATGTTGCACTTAGTTTCCTCTAACAAAGAAACAGATTTCTGCCTTTCAAAATATAGAAAAAACTGTATTTGATCATTTTCAGTGTTTCCTACTTGATTCATAGAAGTTAGCAAACCAGAAACATGCATATTTAAAAATAAATGCAAAAACAGAAAAATAATTCTGTTGTGCTGTGTGATCAGATATTTTCAGAGCATGAACCCATCATGGTGTTACTGTTTGTGTTGTTCTGATATGAAACAATAACATTTGTGGATTCTTTCAGTCGAGTTAAAGATACAATCAGGTTGTAAAATCCTGTTTGTTTCTGATCTTTTGTGCATGTAGTCAGTTGGTTATTTGGATGTTTGTCCAGCTGGATTTTGATAAATGTTCTTTGAAAAGCTGCTGAGCACAAACTGAACCTAAGAAATGTTCCTGTTAATGGAGACTGAATGAAAAGTCAATATTAATAATGATAATAAAGATCGGTTTAAGTGCTGACCAGGATGAAGAGAGTTGTGTTCATGAGTTTCATTCTGGTTGACTCCATGATTTGTGGAGGAGCCCGGACTGTGACTCTCAGACTGGATCGACCTGAAACAGGAAATAAACACAATAAACTCAAAAGTAACTGATGTTTGTTTAAAATAATAATAAAAAGTATTTTACCAACCTGGTGAAGCAGGAATCTGTGAAAGAGACAAATGTTATTACACATGTTTGTCATGTAAATTGTTCCACTGATATTTTGTGTCATGAGATCAGAATACATGTATATGTGTGAATAATTAAAGTGTATGTAGTAAATAAACTCTCTAATACAGCATGAAAAGAAGAGGCTCTTACACTTGGACTGTCTGCAGCGATACAACAAGAGCAGGAGAATAATAATGAGAGAGACTCCACAAACCAGTCCAACCATCAACCACACAGGAGATGAAGAGCTGTCAGCTCCTGACACAGTTACTGTAACAACAAACAATAATTAATTATATTTAAAATTTCATAACATCATTTTATAAAAATGATCTTGAAAAAAATCCAGTTCATCTATTTCCCTCGACTAGAAATCACTTTGAATCAACTCCTGCTGTGTTTAAATGACTTGAGTCCCAACAATGAACACAAAATGTTGACTTCATTAAATCTGCTTTACAAACTTTTACTATATAAACGTGTCAAACAGTCAAATCTTAATATAAAGAAACAAAAACTGATGTTTACATTGAGATTTTCTGTTTCCTGTCAGAAACTGTCAGCATGACTCTGCTCTGTGGTTTCATGTTGTGACTCCTGTTCTACACTACTTGCAGTCTTACTTGTAGAGTTGTTACAGAACTAATTGTGAATTTATGTTGATTTGGAGATTTGCTGAAAATGATTGTTTCACATTCATAATCCCACCTAGTCTCCCCTCCTTGGATCACATTCCTGACACTGATTCTCTAGACTCCACATTTTACATGACTATTCATGTTCAACCATTTCCAATAAGATCATTATTACAATGCCAAAGAGGTTACCATGAGATATAATGCTGTTTGATCTTCATAGTAATCCTCAATCATCAATCTATTCAACATTGTTGCTGAATACAAACTCACCAGTTGTGTTAATCTGAACTTCTTGGCTGTCCTCTGTGTAGTAAACTGGGTTTCCTCTTCCTCCTCTGCACCTGTAGAGTCCTTCCTGTGAGACACTGATTTGTCCATTTGAGTGGAAAACTGCATCTTGTGTGGTCAGGGCTTCAGAGGATTTCTCATCTCTGTACCAGTAGTATTTCCATCCAGATGATGATGATGGGTTCACAGAGCAGGTCAGGGTCACACTGCCCCCTACTGGAACAGCTGTGTTATCAGCTCTCAGTTTGGCCTTTGGTTTATCTGCAGTTCAGTTTAGAAAAAGAACAAACAAATAAATGACTGAATCTAAATCATTTAATCAACTAGATGGAAATGAGAAACATGAACAAATCTTGAATAAAATAAACAGTAAACTCATTTTGATCAACACAGTAAACTTTTACATTTACTTTGCTGTATTTAATAAGTAATTTGTCATGGTCTGGTGACTCCGTTATTTAGTGGTTTTTCATGGTTTTGCCTTTTGTATTTCTAGTTCCCTTTGTTATTTTTTGGTACTTGTGGAGCAGGGAAATTATTTTACTGCTATTGTTAAATAATCATCATCATTACCATTGCATTAATAATATAATCTGCAGCATTGATATTGTATTCAGAGGTTTAAACAGTGTGTGTGTCTTTCAGAAAGACTAAGTTGCAGAGTTGACAGGAAGTTGCAGAGAGTTTGCAGAAGTGAAAGCAGAGTCTAAGTTATTCTGAGGAGCAGGTTAGACGAGGCTATTTGAATTACTAGGTTATTCAAATTGTCTGTTATACTTTTATATTCTTTTACTAAGCTCTTAGTAGAGGTTCTTGATTAAAACATTTATTCAACATAGTACATGTAGTTTCAGTTAGGTTATTACACATAAGGATGAGCCTCTGGTCTGGTAAAAGGTCAGAAGTGCAACGGGTGAGATGAGAGGGCATGTAAGGTCAACACATACACACACACACATTAGTTAGACTCATTTATAGGTGAGAGGTTGGTCATGTTTGTCTCTGGAAAGAGGAACAGCGTCTGGCAGGATGTGGGGCTCGTGTTCCAGACGAGACGAAGACAACGTTCTTTTAAACTGTGTTAAAAGTCATTGTGGTTTTGATTTGACGTATGTATATATTCTGTCTGTGACGTATGAAGGGGCGTCATTAATTCAAACCCTGATGCTATAAAAATCTGTGTATGCTTTGATTAAGTCGAAGATTAATTCCTGTCTGCGTACAGATTGGTCTTCCCACGCGTGTATTCATTAAAATCAATTGTTTGACCAAGATCTTCTGGACCTGGTTGTTTGTACTCTCCTTCCTCAATTATGTGAACCTTAACATACTTCAGTTATTTTTCTAGCCCTTTCGTTTTGTCACTGTGCCTCTCTTGTGTTCCTTGTGTTACGTCTAGTGCTCCTGGTTTCTATGTTCATGTATTCCTGTTTTGCTTCGACAGTCCCATGTGCTGCGTCAGTCTATTCTGTATTTTTCCTCCCTGTCTTCTCTCATCAGATTAGGTTCAGCTGTGCCTCCCTGTTATGTATTCCCTCATTACCCACTGTATGTACTCTGTGTGTTTCCCTTTGTTCCCTGTCGATTCGGCTGCGTTTCTCCTGTTTATCACAAACTGCATGTCTCAGGTTTTGATGTTCCAATTCCCACGTCTCAGATCTTTAATTTCTTATTTTGGTTTTTTAACGTTTTCCCAGTTTAGCTTTTGCTTGTTTAGTCTCTTTCACCTTTTGCTTTTGTTTGTATTCTGCTCTGCCGTAATAAAGGTTCACTCTCAGTTCAAGTCGGTTTTCAGTGTCTGTATTCGGGTCCGACCTCTCTCAGCACCCAACTCGCCTCCAACACTGAATACTTTCACTAAAGCTCCGAATCTAATTGGTCATCATTGCTTTTTGTATTAAACCAGGTCATGTGTATGTTATATCTTAACAAATGGCAGTGCTTTATGACATGACAGACCAGAGTGACTTATTCTTTCTTATAGAAATTGTAGATTTGCTGCTATTTCTTTGAAATTATTATTATTATTATTATTATTATTATTATTATTATTTATTATTATTATTATTATTATTATTATTATGTCATCATTGTCCTCAGGTGATGGAGCAGCAGGTCAGCATTGGCGTCTCTATACCAGCTGAAAGTTCATGACACAAAGTGGTGACAAACTGTCTACAATGAGGCTACTATCAGCTGCAGCTCTTTGTCTGACTAACAGTGTAACATGCTTTGTAGACCATTGAATTCATCCTGTGCTGACCATGATGACATTTGTCAAATGGAGATCACACAACAAACATGACTTACTTGATGCTGACAATGTGAAGGCTTCACTCCACTCTGTTGAAGAATATGAGTCATCTCTGCGTCGACTCTTACACATGTAGTCTCCACTGCTGGACTCAGAAACTCTGAATGTCACATCATTATTGTGTGTCCACTGTGTGGGTGTCCTGGGTCCTCTCCATTCATACTCCCACTCAGTGGTTTCACCTCCTTCCTGCACCTCACATGTCAGAGTGATCGTCTCACCTCTGAATATCTGAGGCCAGTTGGGTTGTTGTTTTACAACAACTTTATTGGAAACTGTTCACACATATTAACAGTTGAGATACAAACAGAAACATGAAATCAACACAGAAAACTTCACATTGTATGTTTGATAATCATGAGTGAATGTATATTTCAAACTAAATGACTGAACTCACAGGTTATCTCAATGGTGACATCATCACTTCTATCAGTGTAGTAAACTGGGTTTCCTCTTGTTCCTCTGCAGCTGTAGATTCCTCCTTGAGATACTCTGATATCTCTGTTTTGTTGATCTCTGATTTTACCTTCAGAGGTTGTTTGGGTTCGTCTGAACCACTCATATTTCCATCCATCAGAGC